CTAGATGTATCTAATGATTCTAGGAGAGGCTTCTAAGAGACTGAGTGGCGCTTTTGATGGGACTTCTGGTACTAGATGGTCATGTGCAAGGGGGTCTACCTGGTGACTTTACCTCCATGTTTTTTGCTTAAGACACAAAGGAGTACACAACAGAGATGAGAGTAAACCTGTAGTAATCGGGATCTCATAGCTATTTCAGCTAAGCTTTACTTAAATAATTTAAGTAACTCAACCCCTGAAATCTTGGCATTACAGGATCCAAGACTGATAGTGCCACAGAACTGTGGTGTCTCAAACTCAAAATTGTTTTTAAAGATTTTTTAAAATAAATTCTGGCAAACAAAGAATCATGATATCATTGGTGAGAACCAGCAAAAATAATAAACAATAAAAATACCCCCAAAAAAAGCCAGACACTGGAGATATCAGAAATAGACTTTAAAATAACTATGTTTACTACATTTAAACAGTTTGGTACTTTGAGAAAAAACCGAACTCTAGAGAACCAGAAACTATCACTATTTACTAAAAGATTTTATCAATGCATATATGTTTGATTTTATCAAACTTTTTGTGTCTACATAGATAATCATATAATTGTTCTCCGTTATTCTGTTCATGTAGCAAATTTCATTCACTGATTTTGAGTAATTAGCCAGCCTGTATTGGAATTATCCCACTCGATTGTGACATTATCATTATAATATACTGCTTAATTTTTTTCTGCTAGTATTTTGTTTAGGATTTTTCATATTCATGAGTAAGACTACAGTTTTCCTCTTTCATAATGTTCTTGTCAAGTTTCAATATCAAGGTGATCCTGCATCATAAATCAAGATAAGGCACTATGTGACATTTTATTCTATGGAAGTCTTTGTAATATTGCCATTGTTCACTCTTAAATGTTCGCATTCCTTGAAGAAGGTGTCCAGGTCTGAAGATCTGTAGGTGAGATTGTTCTTTTCTTAGTAAACTTTTATATTCCCTTATACAGAAAAGTATGGGAATTATAAGTATACAGCATGATGAATTTTCACAAGTGAATATGCTAATATAATACAAATAAATATAATACATCATGTAATAGTAACAAAGACAAAAAACATATTTGTAATTATACGACTTAATTAGAGAAGTCATTTTGATATACTTACCATAGGAAACTGGAACTGTTTTATACCTCAGAAGGCTAATTTACCCACAAAATTTCTTATATCTAATAACTTATTAGGAGAAATTATCATTTGGGAGGTAAATGAGATGATTCTCAACTTACCAACCTTTCCTATAAAAAAAAAAATCCACAAAAGAAGGATCATTCCATTTCTGGCAAAATTTTGGGAAAATAATAGATACTACACACTGATACTAAATACCAAATTAATTTAATATTTTAAAAGAAATCTCAAAATATTCACACTAACACACAGGAGTCCACAGGTACATAAACTTTATATAAGAAAAATGTTTTTAAAAATATTTCATGGCATGGGGTGCCTGGGTGATTCAGTAAATTAAGCGTCTGCCTTCAACTCAGGCCTTGATCCCAAGGTCCTGGGATCAAGCTCCACATCAGGCTCCCTGTTCATTGGGGAGCCTGTCTCTCCCTCTCCCTCTGCCCCTCCCCCTGCTCCTGGTTTTTCTCCCTCTCAAATAAATAAAGTCTTCAAAAAAATATTTCATATAAGTTACACACAAGATTAAAAAAAAAAAAAAGGCAATATATAGGGACACCTGGATGGTACAGTCAGTTAAGCAATCAGACTCTTGTTTTCGGGTCAGGTCATGATCTTAGGGTCATGGGATCAAGCCCCACCTCGGGCTCTGCACTCAGCATGGAGTCTGCCTGAGACTCTCTCCCACTCCTTCTGTCCTTCTTTCCTCAAATAAATAAATCTTTAAAAAAAAAAAAAAGCAATGTATAATATATGATTGGATTTAACAACCCAGTAAGTCCAAAAAGACTATCAAGAAATAGGTGACTTTAGGGGCGCCTGGGTGGCTCAATGGGTTAAGCCTCTGCCTTTGGCTCAGGTCATGATCTCGGGGTCCTGGGATCGAGCCCTAGATCGGGCTCTCTGCTCAGCAGGGAGCCTGCTTCCCCCGCTCTCTCTCTGCCTACTTGTGATCTCTGTCTGTCAAATAAATAAATAAAATCTTTAAAAAAAAAAAAGAAAAGAAAAATAGGTGACTTTACAGATGGCTAACAAACACATGGGAAGATGCTCAACATCGCTCAACATCTATGAAATACAAATCAAAATTACAATGAGATACCACTTCACACCAGTCAGAATGACTAAAATTAACACAGAAAACAACAGGTGTTGACGAGGATGCAGAGAAAAGGGAACCCTCTTAACACTGTTGGTGGGAAGGCGAACTGGTGCAGCCACTCTGGAAAACAGTACGGAGGTTCCTCAAAAAGTTAAAAATGGAACTACCCTATGACCCAGCAACTGCACTACTAGATACTTATCCAAATAACACAAAAATATTAGTTTGAAGGGACACATGCACCCCAATGTTTCTAGTAGCATTATCAACAACCCAAATTATGGAAAGAGCCCAAATGTCCATCAACTAATGAATGAATAAAGAAGATGTGGAACATATGCACAACAGAATATTACTCAGCCATAAAAAAGAATAAATCTCGCTATTTGCAGAGAGGTGGATGGAACTAGAGAGTATTATGCTAAGTGAAATAAGTCAGAGAAAGACAAATACCATACAATTCCACTCATCTTTGGAATTTAAGAAACAAAACAAATGAACATGGGGAAGAAAAAAAAAGAAGCAAACCAAGAAACAGACTCTTAACTATAAAGAACAAACTGAGGGTTACTGAAGGGGAGGTGGGGAGGTGGAATAAATACATTAAGGGCACTTGTGATGAGCACTGGGTATTGTATATGGGTGATGAATCCCTGAATTCTACAGCTGAAACTCATGTTGCACTGTATGTGAACTAATTGGAATTTAAATAAAAATAAGGAAAGGAGGGAGCAAAGGGAGAGAGGAAGAAAGGAAGGAAGGAAGCAAGAGAGGAAGGGATGGGGGAAGGAAAGAAGGAAGAAAGGAAGGAAGGAAGGACTTTTTTATGTCCGTGGTTTTATTCTTCCTTCATTTTGTAAATTTATGAAGAGGAGCATGAATTAGCATTAAAATCAGACAAAAGCGAGTAAACAAAAATTAAATATTAACTACTTTATTCAAGAGTTAATGCAGGAATTTTATAAAATGCTAGAGCTAACAGTGAATTTCAATCCACACTAATTTCATTAGGGACCAACTGCCTATTGGAAATCAATGGGATTAAAGTGTTGTCATCATAATTTCTGAGAGTTTAAATATGAAGACATGAACTTATCCCTTACAGTTCTCAATATGTGGTAGAGAAAAACTGGGGAGTTCACACTTGTTCTTCTCAAAGTCTATTAAGTCTAGCCTCATTCCAGCATGTCCACATTCAGCTGACAGTTAAACAGCAAAATGGTTATTACATGAAGCAAGTCACTTTCCTTTTATGTAGGCACACAAACTTGTGAAGCAAAGCAGAGCTGAAAAGTTGTCCTTTATCACGTAAACTGAAAATTATTCAGGTAATAATACAATGAGCTATCCCAGTGAAAGTATACGGCACAGATAAATCCAAAAGGAATCTAATACTTGAGAATTAGATATCATTGGTATATTTTGTGGGTCTATTATAAACTAACTGAATAACACTGATTACTGTCTCAGATTTCTCTCCTTTGAAATAACCATCATAATTCTTGCTTACACAAAGGAGAAAAGTAAGCAATTTTTATGAAGATTCTAAAATCTAAAATACACAGTGATGTAAGCGTAAAGACATTCAGCATTTCCTTTCTGAGCAAAAAACATGTAATGCTTTTCTCATCAAACCTAGGAACACATTCTAAAGTCCATCATGTAAGCGCTTGTGATCAATCTTGAAGTATTTTTGTATTTGTTTTATATAAAACAGTGTGACCTTTCATTCCCTCCCTGTGGTTTGCTTTAAACTGTTGTCCTTTTCTGAATAGTTGTGTTTTTTATTACATGCTGTCATTTAGATTCACTATGTCATCCCTATTATTAGAATTGTTTTGTTGTATACTTCACAATTCAAAAGGATAGTGATTATAAGAATACCTTATAATCAGCATAAAGTTTACGAGTCATCATCGAAATTAACCCTCACACACACAGAAAGAACTCATTTGCAAACACACAGGGGGCAGCCCTGTGACATGAAAGAGTCTTTGAATGTGCCAGGGGTTTGACTCAAATTTTCTTAAGGAATAATATTCTTTCTATGTCAAGAAGATTCATAAATGTTCAAAGATATGAAAGGATTCAGTATAGGTAGAATGATACAAATCAGAGAAAAAGAACCCAGAAGTCAGTACTGAAAACATCCAAAGCTTCTTTCACAAGTGTTATTAATTAGGTAAAAAAGACTTTAATCGAGCTAAAAGACTTAAAATTTAAAATTTAAAAATTTAAATTAGAATTTAAAATTTTAAGTTGGATGAACACAGGGACGCGTGGGTGGCTTAGTCGGTTAAGCAGCTGCCTTCAGCTTAGGTCACAATCCCAGAGTCCTAGATTCGAGTCCTGCATTGGGCTCCTTGTTTAATGGGGAGTCTGCTTCTCCATCTGCCTGCTCTGCCTGCTGTTCCCCCTGCTTGTGCTCTCACCCTCTGATAAATAAATAAATAAAATTTAAAAAAAAAAGAAGCTAAAACTGGATGAACACAAACCCTATAATCATTGCAAGAGAAAATAATATATTATTTATGAACCTTAAGAGATTAAATACCTAATCATTTAGTCATCAATCCTCATGAGTGGCAAAATAATTCTAACTTACTTAAGTTTATTCCGTATTTGTGAATGAAAAGGGAAGGAGTCATTTCAATACAACTCAGCAGAGAAACCTGATAGTTACTCCACAAAATCACAGCTCCCAGGGACTACTTGATACTCACTTTAGCAGCACTAATGACTGTGGCAGTGTAAGACTGAATGTTGTCTCCACAGGCTCCACCACGGGACTGATGACATCGAATCAGCTGGAAAAAGAGAGAGAAAGAAGCCAGAGAGTCATTTCTCTTAAACTGTTTAACTCCACAGGATATTAGGATAGGCCTTATTTACCGTGCAGCAAGATGGTGGTGGGTGGAAATGTTTGTACAAGTGTTTCAGACAAACAGCTAAAAGCTCTGCTGAGACACTTTTCCCCCGTTTTATAATCTACTGGTGCCACTCAGGCAGTTTCATGCTCAAATACAATTTTTAATTACAAGATGAATAGTCTTTAAGAATTCATAAACTCTGAAATGGTAGTATTTAGGATCTGGCCATCTTTCCACAAATAAATTTCATAACATAATCAAAGGACTTAGACTTGACTTCCTAACATTAAATATTTAACATGCTAGCAAACTGGAAGCTCTGTCCTTTTAATTCCTACAGAAAGACTGTAAAAGATAACCAAAAAAAGAGAGAGAGAACAAGAGAGAGATGAAAGAATATGTCATATTTCCATTTTCAATTAAGTCAGTGGAAAAGTGATACAAATTATGCATAAAACAACCACGACACACAGAGTAGCTGTCCACTTCAGAGGGCTTACTAGTATTACCATTAGAATGAAAAAGACATGCCTTTACTCATGACTGACGTAAATAAATCAACTGTCAATTTTCAAAGTGAATCACTAATTTAACATGCACAACTGTCTCCTGTGCTAAGCAACACACCAGGATTAAATTCTCCACTGCTCCTATACTTCCTAAATTTAAGTTTTCTTAAAGCAGAAAAGCACTCATTAGCCAGATTTTTACATTGAAAATTTTTTTAAAATAAAATGACAGTAGTAGAATACTAGAACGGCTCCACATTGGGTTATGGATTATTTTAAAGGCCTACAGAATTCAGATAGAATCTTCCTCTTTCAAAACATAAAAACAAAAAATGCTTATATAATTTAAAATACAATCATTTGATAAATATTAATACATAAGCTTTTCTGTTCTTTTATTCTAAAATCAAAATTTTGAGGGTGCCTGGATGGCTCAGTCAGTTAGGCACCTGCCGTTGGCTTGAGTCATGATCCTGGAGTCCCAGGATGGAGTCCCAGGATTGAGTCCCGCAACAGACTCCCTGCTCAGTGAGGAGTCTGCTTTTCCCTCTGACCCTTCCCCCTCTGGTGCTCTCTCACTCTCTCTCCCAAATGAAAAAATAAAAAATCTTAAAAAAGAAGAAGAAGAAGACGAAGAAGAAGAAGAAGAAGAAGAAGGAATAAGAGGAAGAAGAAGAAGAAGAAGAAGAAGAAGAAGAAGAAGAAGAAGAAGAAGAAGAAGAAGAAGAAGAAGAAGAAAGGGAAAAGGAGGAAGAAAAGAATCAAAATTTTCTTCATCACTGACACTGTATTAAAAAACAATTCCTCGGGGCTTCTGGGTGGCTCAGTGGGTTAAAGCCTCTGCCTTTGGCTCAGGTCATGATCCCAGGGTCCTGGAATCGAGCCCCACATCGGGCTGCTTCCCTTCCTCTCTCTCTTCTTGCCTCTCTGCCTACTTGTGATCTCTGTCTGTCAAATAAATAAATAAAAATCTTAAAAAAATAAATAAAAAATAAAATAAATAAAATTAAAAAACAATTCCTCAAAGCAATAATAATATGTTAGAATGGAATATCTTTAAAAGTCTGATAGGAGATGTACAGCTGGCACATGAAATGGCTGCTGAAGCAGATTCCAAGGTCAGCAGTAAGGAATTTTCCAAATGACAGGTGATGGCAAATGTGGTTTCAAATAGGGGAAAACAGAGTTCAAAAGTGATTGTTTTAGGGACACCTGGGTGATTCAGTCGGTTAAGTGTCTGCCTTCGGTTCAGGTCATGATCCCTGTGTCCTGGGATGGAGTCCCACATCGGGCTGTCGGCTCCGCAGGGAGCCTGCTTCCTCTTCTCTCTCTCTCTGCCTGCCTCTCTGCCTACTTGTGATCTCTGTCTGTCAAATAAATAAATAAAATCTTAAAAAAAAAAAAAGAATCTCAGGGGACATCCCAACAAAATATAATATCTGATCCTAGCCTGGACCCTGAACTACAAAAAAAAAAGCTCTACAAATGATATGATAGGGTTAATTGATAAAACTGGAATATGGATGGTAAAATAGCTAAAAGCATTTTCTCAAGATTAAACTGACTGATAAGTATTTAGGGGTAATGTGATATATGCAACTCACTCTGAAATAATAAGAGTAAAAGGTACATGAGTGTGCTTTGTGGTATCTGTACTATATTTATTCTTACAGCTTTTCTGTAAGCTTTCCTAGTTAAAAGTAAGTTTAAAGAGAAGCCCTGAAAAACAAACCCCTTGAAAACAGAACTACCCTACAACCCAGCATTTGCACTACCGGAGATTTACCCCAAAGACACAATTGTAGTAATCTGAAGGGACACCTGCATCCCAGTATTTATAGCAGCAATGTCCACAATAGCCAAACTATGGAAAGAGCCCAGATGTCCACTGACAGATGAATGGATAAAGAAGATGTAGTATATATATATACAATGGAATATTACTCAACTAGCAAAAAATAAAAAAATGAAATCTTGCCATTTGCAACAACATAGGTGGAAAGAGAGGGTATTATGCTAAGCGAAATAACTCAATCAGAGAAGGACAATTATTCTATGATCTCACTTATATATGGAATTTGAGAAACAAAGCAGAGGATCATAGGGGAGGAGAGAAAAAAATGAAACAAGATGAAACCAGAGCGGGAGACAAACCATAAGAGACTCTTAATCTCAAGAAACAAACTGAGGGTTGCTGGAGGTGAGGAGCATGGGGGATGAGGTAATGGGGTGTTGGACATTAAGGAGGGCACGTGATGTAAGGAGCACTGGGTATTATACAAGACTGATGAATCACTGACCTCTACCTCTAAAACTAATAATATATGCTAATTTACTGAATTTAAATTTAAAAACTAATTAAAAAAAAAAAGAAAAACAAACCCAATCAGTATATATGGCCTCTTTCTTTATGACTTAATTTTATTTTTTTATTTATTTAAAGTTTTAATTTAAATTCCAGTTAGTTAATATATAGTGTAACATTAGTTTCAGATGTACAATTTAGTGATTCAACACTTACATACAACACCTGGTGCTCATCACAAGTGCCCTGCTTAATTCTCATCACCTATTTACCCCATCCCTTCACCCACACCTCACCTCTGGTAACCATCAATTTGTTCTCTATAGTTAAGAGTCCTTTTCTTGGTTTGCCTCTCTTTTTTCTCCACTATTCTCATTTGTTTTGATTCTTAAATTCCACACATGAGTGAAATCATATGGTATTTGTCTTTCTCTGACTGACTTATTTTGCTTAGCATAATACTCTCTACTCCATCCACATCACCGCAAATGGCAAGATTTAGTCCTTGTTATGGCTAATATTCCATTGTGTATGTATGTATGTATATATGTATGTGTGTGTGTGTACATATATATCTATATAGATATATCTTTTTTTTTAAAGACTTTTATCTATTCATTTGGCAGACAGAGATCACAAGTGGGCAGAGAGGCAGGCAGAGAGAGAAGAGGAAGCAGGCTCCCCATCGAGCAGAGAGCCCGATGCAGGGCCTGATCCCAGGACCACAACCTGAGCCAAAGGCAGAGACCTTAACCCACTGAGCCACCCAGGCGCCTCATATCACATCTTCTTTATCCATTCCTTGGTTATTGGAATTGGACTATTTCCATAATTTGGTTATTATATAATGTTGCTATAAATATTGGGGTACATGTATCCTTCTTAATTAGTATTTTTGTATTCTTTGGGTAAATACACAGTAGTACAATTGCTAGATTGTAAGGTAATTCTATTTTTAATTTTTAACTCCATACTGTTTTCCAGAGTAGCTATACCAGTTTCATTCCCACCAGTACTGCTAGAAGTTCCCCTTTCTCTACATCCTCACCAACACCTATTGTTTCTTGTGTTGCTGATTTTAGCCATTCTGACAGGTGTGAGGTGATATCACACTGTAGTTTTGATTTGTATCTCCCTAATCATCAGTGATGTTGAGCATCTTTTCATGTGTCTCTTGGCCATCTGTATGTCTTTGGAAAAATGTTCATTCATGTCTTCTGCCCATTTTAACTAGATTATTCATTTCTGGGGTGTTGAGTTGACTGAATTCTTTATATATTTTGGATACTGACCCTTTATCAAATATGTCATATGCAAATATCCTCCCCCATTCCATAGGTTGCCTTTTAGTTTTACTGATTGTTTCCTTCACTGTGCTGAAGGTTTTTTATATTGAGGAAATCCCAATAATTTATTTTTGCTTTTGTTTCCCTTGCCTCGGGTGACATATCGAATAAGAGGTTGCTATGGCTGATGTCAAAGAAGTTACTGCCTATGTTCTCCTTTAGGATCTTCTTGGTTTCCTGACTCATATTTAAGTCTTTTTAAAAATTTATTGTTAACATATATTATTTGTTTCAGGGGTACATGTCTGTGATTCATCAGTCTTACACAATACATAGCGCTCACCACAACACATACCCTCCTCAGTGTCTATCACCCAGCCACCCCACCGCACCCAGCCACCCCAACTCCCCTACCTGTCCTCTGCTCCACCTACCCTCAGGTTGTTTCCTGAGATTAAGGATCTCTTATGGTTTGTTTCCCTCTCTGGTTTCGTCTTGTTTCATTTTTTTCCTCTCTTCCCCTATGATCCTCTGCTTTGTTTCTCAAATTCCACATATAAGAGAGATCATATGATAATTGTCTTTCTCTGATTGACTTACTTCGCTTAGCATAATACCTTCTCTTTCCATCCATGTTGTTGCAAATGGCAAGATTTCTTTTTTTGCTGGTTGAGTAATATTCCATGTTTTATATGTGTGTGTGTGTGTGTGTATACATATATATGTATGTATGTATAGGAAACGTACATACATATATGCATATGTGTACATATAGATATATCTATGTATGTGGGTAATATATACATATATACACACACACACACACACACACAACATCTTCTTTATCCATTCATCTGTTGATGGACATCTGGGCTCTTTCCATAGTTTGGCTATTGTGGACATTGCTGCTATAAACACTGGGATGCAGGGGCCCCTTCGGATTACTACATTTGTATCTTTGAGGTAAATCTCCAGTAGTAAAAATGCTGAGTTATAGGATAGCTCTATTTTCAACTTTTTGAGGAACCTCCATACTGTTTTCCAGAGTGGCTGCACCAGCTTGCATTCCCATATATTGCCTCTTGCTTAAAATTTTAGTCAAAGAGCACTTTCATTGAAAGAGATTGTTACTCCAAAATTTAATTAAATTTTGCAATTCCACACTCAGCCCAAAAACCAAAACAATCAGAAACTGTTACCACAGCAATTAGAAACTGTTAATAAATACTAGCATTTTTGTAAATACTATGGAAAGACATTTATCTAAAAATATTTTCTTCAAAGGATGGTAAAGTTATCTGATTAGCAAACTCCTTGTAAATGCACTACACTTTCTGGTCTCTGTATAGAATGCTAGTTATTAATGACACTTATCTCTACAAAGGCAAGACAAGCAAGACAACTGGCACACACCCACGTGTGCATCTATGAAGGGAGTTCCTTCTGCTAGAAAACAATATGTAACTATTTGCATAACACCTACAATTCTAAATGGGTAGTTTCCCACATGTGAGAATACATTTACAAGAGCCAAAAGACAATTTTTGCATATTCTTCTTGGATATTTCCAGCACTCAAGGAAACGTATTACAGACATAAATATTAGAAGATATCATTATGTCACCACTGAATTGTATGCCTCTTGTCTTTTTTGAAAATATTTTGAAAAGAGCTATTTTTATGAGATATACTAGAAATGGCATTATGACATTCAGTAAGACGCAAAATATCTGTAGCAAACAGAATTTTGGGAAAAGTATCAAGAAATTTATCTACAAAAATAACTTTCTTCAGGAGTTTCTTGATTTGTGAATTCCAGAGATTTACATGCTCTGTGGTTTCTCCAAATAATTATTGTACTTGCCATATTCAGACTTGTGTCAAAAATTCTTCAATAAATATTACTTCCTATTATTCTTAATATGTAATAATTATACAAGCAGGCTAAAATGAAATAAAAACAATAATCTTCTCTGAAGTCTGTAATATTTTTTAGATTTCATTCTATATTCACATGCAGAGCACAACATGGCATAAAAAAGATTTCACTTTTTCTTTCTGAAAATTCAAATTTGTCTTTGTCTTTGAATTGGACATAAAAAAACTCTTGATGTAATAATATAATATCTTCATTTACTATTATGACTGTATTAGATAAATGAAATTGATAAATAACTGGAAAATTCAACAAAATGTGATCACCTGTGATTTAATTAATAAGACAAATGGCTGAACCCCCTAAATCTACAGCTACAGATTTAGCTGTAGACACATAAAGTCAACTAAATTATTCCATGGCTCTGTTCCCAATCTACCAATAAAAACAAAAGTCATCCCTGCCTCCTGATTTCTAGCTCCACAGAAACTACTAAGGTAATATCAATGTTGTGCCTAAGATTAATGGAATAAAGCTCTATCTATAAAACTAAGGTTAGAAAATTAAGGTTGAGCCCAAATACTGATCCTAAGCAATAAGGGAAATAGGATAACTACTGGGTGCCTGATTAAAATCAAAACCAAACCAAAGAAAACAAACTAGTAAGTTAAACATTTATTGTTGGTTGGTGATCATCTTTGGAAAACTCTTCAACACTTGCTCCCTTACAAATAATCAAAACACGAGCCATGCCTTACCTTGTTTTCTGCATAAGCCAGCCAGCGGCTCCCAAGAGCAATAGGATTCATGTTGGGCCCTGGACAAGGATAGCAGCCTGAAAAATTTTAAATGGCAATATTGAGATATTTCTTAATAAATTTTTTTGGTACATCATATTTTGATGGCATAAAAACAAAACAGGCAAATGGTTTTATTTTTTCAAGACTCACATAAAATCCCCATAAAACCAGTCATTATTTTAATAGCTAAGTGAAGTTCATTTTTTTCCCTTCTACAGTTTCCTTTTGGTTTGATGCTGTTCCAATAAGAAACAAATCTGGGAAGAACTGGTTATAACTTTTAGCCAAAATTGGGTATTTTATACAGTTATTCCTAGAACAAGAAAGAGAAGCTAAAAGGAAATAAAGTGTATAAATCAAGCAACAGTATTTAGAGAGGAAAGAGAAAGGATGCAATTGGTTCAGAAATTTAAAAGCAAAAGATAATGAAGACATACACCTAAAAGGGAATATGATACAATAGTCGGGAGAGAAAAACAGAACAAGTACTAAAGTAAGGACCAATGAAGCAAAGTAATTCACAAAGAGTGCTTCCATAGAAAGATGATGGAAAACTACACGCTCCTATGTATTTACCTTAGGCACTCAATTTCTTTCTTCCTGCTTTCAGTCCAGCCAATAACAAACTAGTAGGAAGGACTGTCCTGTGGTTCTCTCCTTTAAAGAATAATAAATCACGCAGTCATGACAGTGAACACCGTCACTACATGGAAACTCCAATACCATCTTTCTGAACTCTACTAAACAAGGCTCAACATGATTCAGTCAAGTAAGTGATGTCTATCTACCTAGAGGCTCGCCTCTCTGCTCCTGGCCAGGCCAATAAGGTCTTTGAGTCTAATGCCCTCATCTGTCAACTACACAAAATAATACTCGACTGTCTCACAAACTTTAGAGGGACTACTCAAAGGCAACTGCAGAATCAGACAACATAAAAAGCCTAACTTAAAGAACTTCTGGCTTCTCATTCCACAAGTATCTGTTTAACATTTTTATAAATGTTTTCCTCTAAAAGGTACACTGGAGGATCAAACTGAAGTATTCTACTTTACAGTTTAGGTCCCAAGTTAGAATCTAAATTTATACAATCATGAGACAGACAAGATTCCATAACAATAATCTTTACTTCCACTAGCAAAATAGCCAAATTACACGAATCATATGAGCATAAGCGCAAAAAAATAGCATAACCGGGGCTGCCTGGGTGGCTCAGTGGGTTAAGCCTCTGCCTTCAGCTCAGGTCCTGATCTCAGGGTTCTGGGATCAAGTCCCACATCAGGCTCTCTGCTAGGCCGGGAGCCTGCCTCCTCCTCCTCTCTCTCTCTCTCTCTCCACTTGTGATCTCTCTGTCAAATAAATAAAGTCTTTAAAAAAAAAAATAGCATAACCTGAAATGTAAACTGCACACCTGACAATTCCCTACCCAGCAGAAAGTCCCAGTGTATGTTACTGAGCTTAAGAGGAACCGAGTTATCAATGTATGATCATGTTTCATGCAAAAGCATACTTAATAATGAGAAAAAGAACAATAATGAACTACTTTAAGATTTACTTTCAATAATAAAAATAATTTACATGTTCTGTTAATATATTATTATTTTTAAATTTATTTTGTCTTTCGCCCACTTGATTAGAGGGGTATGTAAGAATTTGTGTTCACTGCTGAATTTCCACTGTGTAGAATAATACCTGAACACAGCTTAATAAATAAGTTTGAACAAATTAAGAAATGCACCTAAATTAATCAAAGCATGTTTATATGACACTGGCAGAAAGTCATCTACATAAAAAAAACTTTTCAAATACTCAAATAGTGTGCTCACCTAAAAGCCAGATCTTTCATTTTAAACTATTTTTTTAAAAAATAGGCATCTTTCTTAAAGATGTATTACATGTTGGGGCACCTGGGTGGCTTAGTCAATTAAGCATCTGAGCTTTTGGCTCAGGTCATGATCCCAGGTCCTGGGATCAAGCCCCGCATCAGGCTCTCTGCTCAGTGGGGAGTCTGCCGCTTTTTCACCTTCTCCCTCTGCCCACCCCCCTGCTCCTTCTCTCTCTCTCAAATGAATAAATAAAATCTTTAAAACACACACACACACAAACATGTATTACTTGCTTTCTGATTCAGGAAGTCTGTGTGCAGCAGTGATTGTCATCCTAAAATGCTAGTGTAATGGTGTTCATGGGCACTAAAGAAGCACACACCATTACTGGGCCCCTCACACAGTAGTTTTTTCTTTTTCTTTTTTTGGCTTTTTTACATTTTAATTTATTTTTTTAAATAATACCATAGTAGAGAAATGCAACTATTCTTTTTTTCTTACAGTATTTAATTTAAATTCAATTAGCCAACATACAGTCCATCATTAATTTTGATACAGGGTTAAATGATTCATCAGTTGCGCCTAACACCCATCACACACAGTTTTCATTAGAGCTCCTTCAATCACTACCTATTTTGAGTTTTCCTTTTTAAAGAAGATAACTTCTAAAAAAGATAATGGCCCTAAGAAAAAGTACGTATGTCACGTGAAATACAAGGTATGAGCTTTCTAATTTTTTACTCATCTTTTAAAAAAAACTTTTATTTCAGGGTTTTAAAGGGTTCTGTTGGGGATGTTTTGGGTTTTGGGAAAACTGACCTGTAGGTAACTATGATATTACTATATCCACTGAATGCACATTATGGACACATATTATAGATACATACAAAGGACAAAGGCACACTAAATAGTACAAAGATAATACACTTTGACATATGTTCTACAGTATTTCACAGATTTCATTATTACACTCCCACTGAGCAACCTAATTCATATACACATTCCAGATATTTTCAGAGCTGAAGAAATTAATATAAATATGGCCTATAGAAAACTTCCCCCTTTTAAATATTTTTTAAAAATTTCCCCCTTTTAAATATGTCATGAAAAAAGAACCAAATGGGGGCACCTGGGTGACTCAGTGGGTTAAGCCTCTGCCTTCAGCTCAGGTCACGATCTCAGGGTCCTGGGACCGAGCCCCACATTGGGGGGGGCGGTCCTCCGCTCAGCAGGGAGCCTGCTTCCCCCTCCCCCTCTGCCTGCCTCTCTGCCTGCATGTGATCTCTCTCTCTGTCAAATAAATAAATATTTTTTTAAAGAACCAAATGAAAAACAGAAATAAATACTTGTGAACTGCAGCATTACATTAGAGATAGCTAATCTCCTAAACTTTAAAGTCCATATAATCAAACTCTCAATCAATTCTGATATTCATCTCATCTCAATAGATCCTAGTGAGTATATCTCTCCTTTCCAAATACTAGAAGATACTAAGGGAAAACGTAGTTCACAATTCTTCATCTCACTTTCTGAGTCATTGTTTTTAGAAATTCAGTGGACCTCAAGAATTATAGTGTATTGGAATGGAAGCAAAGTGTTTTCCTGCTCTCCAAAACACATTTCACAGCTGGTATCAGCAGACCATCAGCCACTCAGCACTATCTCAACTTTACAAGCATGACTCCTTTAAAAATTAACCATTCCCTCCAGCTAAACTTTGAAAACAAGGGGGGTAAAAACCCAAATCTCTATAATACTATAACTAATACTAACATGTTTACAATGTTTGTGAAGAAAGCAAGAGAACTGGATTTTTTTTAAACTGAGATTTCCAAATTTAAATAAAGGTAAGATCCAAGAAAAGCACACTAAATGAAGGATTTCTCAGAAATACTTCAAAAAGCACAGGAGAGTGATGCAACTTTAGATGGAATCCTCCCTTAATGTTGGTCCCTAGTCAGGAAGTGACCTGAATATATTTTGAAAAACAAAGGATTCAACTACTCTCTGCAACACTATGCCTAATTTTGCCTGGTGAAGACAACTCAAAAGATTACAGGCTTTTTTAAAAAAACAGATGTCTGCATTTATGGTCATCTGACTCTCAACAAGGATAGCGAGACAAGTCAATGGGGAAGAATAGTCTTCTCAACAAATGATGATGGGTCAACTGCATATTCATATCCCAAAGAATATAACCCTGACTTCACACTGCACACATAAATTAACTCGAAATGAAACCAAAGACTTAAATGAAAAAGTTAAAAGTACTACTCTCTTCTTCCGCACTGCCTGCAGAGGCGGCAGCCATCCTCTACTTCACATCATGGCCACCCTGAGACCTGTGGGGAAGCCCAAGATTGTTGAAAAGAGGACCAAGCAGTTCATTGACACCAGTCAGACCAATATGTCAAAATTAAGTTCAACTGGTGGAAATCCAGAGGCATTAACAACAGGGTGCACAGAAGATTCAACGACCAGATCTTGATGCCCAACGATGGTAATGGGAGCAACAGGAAAACAAAGCACATACTGCCCAGTGGCTTCTGAAGTTCCTACTCCACAATGTCACATGAAACAAATCTTACTGTGCAGAGATTGCTCACAACATCTCCTCCAAGAACCGCAAAGCCATCATGGAAAGAGAAGCCCAGCTGGCCATCAGAGTCACCAATCCCAATGCCAGGCTATGCAGCCAGAAAAATGAATAGAGAGCTTATGTGCACATTGTATTTACATTAAAAAACTATAAAACTATCAAAAATGTTAAAGTATTAACTTCTTGGAACAAAACATAGTGGTAAATCTTTATACTCTGAGATTAAGGAATGCTTTCTTAGGGGGTGCCGGGGTAGCTCAGTGGGTTAAGCCTCTGCCTTCAGCTCAGGTCATGATCTCAGGGTCCTGGGATCAAGCCCCACATTGGGATCTCTGCTCAGCGGGGAGCCTGCTTTCTTTCCCCTTCTCTCTCTGCCTGCTGCTCTGCCTACTTGATCTCTCTCTGCCAAATAAATAAATAAAATCTTTAAAAAAAAAAAAGGAATGCTTTCTTAGATATGACACCAAAAGTACAAGTGATAAGAGAAAAAACATATCAGGGCTCCTGGGTGGCTCAGTGGGTTAAGTGGCAGCCTTTTGCTCAGGTCATATCCCAAGGTCCTGGGACTGAGCCCTTCATGAGGCTTTCTGCTCAGAGGGGAATCTGCTTCTCC